GGGGCAGTAATAGTGGAATAGTGCCGATAAAAGGTAAAGAAATTAAATTCTTACCACCTGGCCAACCTTGCGCTGGATCGCTAACGAAATGAATCTGAGGAATGGATTGTTAGCGTCAACCGATGACTCATTTTCTTTTTCAGCCGTTTCAGACCATGCCGGTTGCGATCTATTACTTTTATGACACAGGCGATTGCTTCGCCCTCGAAGAAAACCGTACTTCTTAACAGTGCGCAAGAATGAGATCTTTTTAGCTGTTGTGCGCACTCTCGAAATAGGCACGCTCATTAATAGCAGTAAGTACCATGCCGAAGGGTTTTATGTGCGTCCATTACTTTCTTCTGTATCGATTCAAAGGCGTTCTGCTCTCTGAATGCTAACGACTGGGATCCCAATTTAAAGAAAGTTCTACTTTCACTTTCACTCAATTACAGTTAGAGTTACACTCAATTTGGATGGGACCAAATGCTGTCCTTCTCAAGGAGAAGGGATCGAAGTCTCTTCAAAATTTCTTTGGCTTTCCAATCAGGATTCCCTGTGAAAGGGCCTAATTATAATGTATGTATATGTGTAGATGTAAACGTGAGCCGAAAGTAAAGAAACTATGAAGTTGAAAACAAATTTAGAGGGATTTATGTTTTTCTAGCCTAGAGGAAGGATAGGATACGGCTCCAGAAAAGTCGTTGGCCTATTTCGAATTTAGGTTTTTTTTGTTGAAGGTATCGTGGTTCCATTTGGTATGAGTATGTAGACTTCAGTCAGAACTGAAGTTTACATACTCAGACGCTTATGTGTTCTGACGTAAAAGCAGGCGGTCAGACTTGCTGCTCATCTTTGCGTTTACCATGTGAGGTACGGCCTACTCAACTTCCAAGAAGTTCGTTCTTCTGAGCAGTAGCTCCACCTAGAACTTTTGACTTTTTGTTGATTCGTGGAGTTCTTGAAGCTCCTCTCATCATCCTCAATGCCTCCCATGGCTTGGTTTAAATTGATTCGGAAAATCAGGTGAACTCAGGTACAACCAATAATAATTGAACGACATGTGATATGTTTCCTCCTGCGAAAGTTAAGATGCTGTTTCAGGCAAATTTTTCAAAAATCGAAGAAATGAGCACGGGTGCTGCCTATTGTCAACTAACGCATTTACTGTTCCGAGATGCCATCAATCTTCGGAAAGTTCGTGTTTTTTTCATTCTTCCTGCTTCTGCTTGAATGCTTAGTACGAGGTGCTTCTAATACGAGATGATCAGTCCTTGAAGTTAAGGGATAGTCGCAACGAATGACATCTCAACATTGAAAAACTTGGTACTCATGAAAGCGGCTTGGAGTTGACAAGTTGTGAAGTCGTTTGATTATGTCACTCATACATTGTTTAGCAGGCAAACAGTACACCTCGATTCTCGCATGGAGAAAACGAAGATCGCGATCCGCGGATACTGGGTCTCGTTTCTTTGTGTTTGAAAAGCGCTGATGTCCTATTCTCATCTGCGCTCTCTCGCAATTGCGCTTTTGAAGCAACCTCACACATTCGAACCTTTGCCATACGAAAAGTGGCTCATGCATCTCAGCCTCCAAACTCTAATATTCCATGGTACGTAATCGTTTGACACTTTTAGATTCGGTAGGCGCCTCTCGATTTTTTGCTCGAGTTTTTTGAAGGCGTAAGTGGTGTTTAGCTGATCAGTGGGCGCGGCTTTCCAAGGAGAGTGGTCGAGGCGGGGATCAAATCCTGGGTCGTGAGTCGCCCGGGCCAACCAAGCCTTCCATCCCTCGGGGTCGGTTAATTGGTACCAGACTTGTCTGGGAGGATAAAAACACTGACTTGTACATCGGCTGGCCCCCGCAAGTCATTGTATAGGCCACATCGCATTCAAACGCCACTACGAATGTACAAATGGAAGTAGAATGCGTGCCGCATCCCAAAAGGGGATTGATCAACGGCAAATGCTTTATCCTTTATTTTTATCTTTTTAAGAAGTATAGAGAGAATCTTTCGGATACATCACATAATCACGGCGTGGCTGCTTGTTGCTCGAGCCTAGTCCAGCGAAAACAGTGGTGATGCTGCAATTTGCTCCACAAATGCCAAATGTCTTATGCCCCTCCCCCCTATTGCTCAGGGCACACATACTTGAGTTACGAATCTCTCACGTTTATATCTCATGACTATCTCGCCGAACGAATGAGTGACACAGCATTTAGCGCACTTGATGGGCGGCTGCCCGCTCTTCCCTCCTTCCCCAAGCTTACGAGTAGTAATTTTTTACCAATGCACTAAAGAATTCCCCTAGTTTCTCGCAACGTTACGATAACAAATTACAATGTTTCAGTTGTCAGCATTGTTTTTTCTGCGCTTTCAGCCAGTTCTCGTGGAGCGGCTGACGAAGGGAAAATTCCAGGACAACTTTGAATTCAATTTCTTCAGTGGTTCTTCAAATTTTTCAACGCCAACTATGTAGACGACGGCGAGGAATATGACGCATTAGCTGCTCGAGGAGGCGAAGTATGTTCCACTGTTTTGTTTCATTTTACCTGTGACGCCAGAAATTAGAATGATTGGGCCCGGTTTTTGCCGTTATTCCCCACGCAACCGCGTTGACATAGATTATGGAAACAGGACTAGCTCACATTCTTCGTAGGATTTCCGACCCATTTGCTTCTCCACGACAGCAAATTATAGAGATTTCCTTTCACGGCGAATTTATGAAGCGAAGCTAAAGGTTTTGAACGCATTACGGCATTCTGTTAGGGTTGAGTCATTTTTTGCAACTCGGTTAGCAGTTCGAGTGTGGTGTAGATGCGTATCGATCATGCGATCTCACCATTGCACTTGCAAAAGAGCACGTTCGATACATATCTACTTCAGCTGGAATTGCAAGGTATGGCGCCCCTTATACCTAGGTATCTTATTTATATGTCTCCAAAAGTTTTTAACTCCTCTACAATTCTTAACATTTACTAGTGTTTTTTTTCTATGTTTTCAAATAATTTATCAGTAACTAGCGTATTGTTTTACGGTATGTTTACATGGACAAATTTGAAAAAGAATTCAAATAATATGAGCAAAACGAGTTCTACGTTCGGAAACGCACGCCTCAATATGATAAAAGTGTCCTAAATTTCAACGGCTATAAAGGAATTTGTCCAGGTCTGTCGCATCTTTGCAAGTTGCAACCGACCAGGGTGAAACCTAGGACTTTTGAGGGTTCTGATGTGCTTTTGAAGTATACAGCAAGGAAGGATAGTCACAAAAGCGTACAGTAAAAGAGAGGTTCACGATGATTACGGTGACAACGCGCACACCCACCTCCAACAGTGACGTCTCTTTCGTCGTCGTTTTGCTTTAAGGTCAAGGATAATGGAGGGCATGGAGCAGATTGATTGTTGTGTTGTTCGTCCTTGATTTTACTTAGAGTGCATAAAAAGCTTGGGAGAAGGAAGGGCTGATAGGACAACGTACAAGTTGATAACGCAGTCTTGCTGTCCTTTTTAATAAATCACTTCGCAGTATAATAAAGTTGAGTTCTTTATACTATTCTTTCGTCATCATCATCATCAATGCATGT